CAGCTGGGCTGCCCTGCATGGCCCCCACATACCTGGCCTTCTACCCTGCAGGCTCCCTCTGCCCTCAGGGACCTACTGTTCTCAGGCCCTGCCCTGGCACCCACCTCAGGGGCCATTCCCTGCAGACATTCCCCTGTGTCTGCTCACCAGCTTTCTCCCTCACCTTATGTGCCAAAGGCTTTAAATGGACTCACATCCGTTGACCCAGTAAATTCATGTCAAGGAATCTGCCTAAGAAAATAATTCAAACCATGTATGAAGATATATATAAAGATGTTTAGCACAGTGTGGTTTAAAATCATGAAACATTACTGACAATCAAAAAAACCAGCATGCCGGGCATGGTGGCTCATGCCTGTAATCTCAACAGTCTGGGAGTCTGAGGCTGAGGATCACTCAAGCCCAGGAGTTGGAGACCAGCTGGACAACATAGCAAGACCTTGTCTCTACAAAAATTAAAAATAAATTAGCTGAGTTCAGTGGCATGCACCTGTAGTCCCAGCTAGATGGGAGGCTGATGTGGGAGGATCACTTCAGCGCAGGAGGTTGAGGCTGCCATGAGCCATGATCATGCCACTCTAGCCTAGGCAACAGAGTGAGACCCTGTCTCAAAATAATAATAATAAAAAAATAGTAAAATAATTTTTTTTTACAAGACTAGCACTAGGAAAACATGGTGGGCCTTGGTTCTGATTTCAGATCACAGGAACTCGACAGAAATCTCTGAGGAGGGCCTGGACATTTGCCTTTTTAAAAGCACCCCCCCACTACCCCTCGTTCCCCTGTGCTTCTAATCCATGGCCAGGGTTGGTAACCACAAGGGTCACCTGATAGGCTCTGCTCAGCCACTGTCAATGATGTCTAAGAAGAGATTCTATGTGGTATGAAAAATGCTTACACAAACTAAAAGGCAAAAAAAATTATTAATAACTAGGATACTGGATTGCTTTCTCAGGCATATCTCATCTGCCTACAAGAAAGTTAAAAAACCAAAACCCCAAAATGGAAAAACAAAAGAAACGAAAAATCCTAGAACCTAGATGGGAACCTGCCACAGCTGTATCTCACCTACCTCGTGACGATAGGATTATGGGTGGTGCTTTCTCATTTCTAGTCCTGTTACTTCGAACATTTTTTTACAAAGAACAAGTGTTCTTTTTTTTTTTTTTTTTGAGACCGAGTCTTGCTCTGTCACCAGGCTGGAATAAAGTGGCACGATCTTGGCTCACTGCAACCTCTGCCTCCCGGGCTCAAGTGATTCTCCTGCCTCAGCCTACTGAGTAGCTGGGACTACAGGCACGCGCCACCATGCCCAACTAATTTTTGTATTTTTAATAGAGATGGCATTTCATCATGTTGGCCAGGATGTTCTCGATCTCTTGACCTTGTGATCCACCTGCCTCGGCCTCCCAAAGTGTTGGGATTACAGGTGTGAGCCACTGCGTCCAGCCTACAAAGAGCAGGTCCTATTTTTATAACCAGAGAAACAACTGAAAGACAAGCGGCCGTGGGGAGGGAGTCAGCACTGTGTTGCATGCACCCTGGCAGGCTCACTCAAGGCACCATCCTCCCCACTGATGCAGCCAATGCCTCCTCCCTATTTCTCGGGCTCACATGTACTTTGCAGTCATTATTTTAAACTAATCCCCTAAACATTTTTAAGAGACAGGTTCTCACTCTGTTGCCCAGGCTGGAATGCAGTGACACCATCTTGGCTCACTGCAGCCTTGAACTCCTGGGCTGAAGCAATCCTCCTGTTTCAGCCTCCCAAGTAGCTGTGACCACAGGCACGTGATACCACATCCAGCTAATTTATTTTTTGTGGAGATGGGGTCTCTGTATATTGCCCAGGCTGGTCTTGAACGTGCCACCATGCCTGGCTGCCCCAAGCAATCTTACGTGGGGAATGTTGTCACCTCATATTTTAGAAGGGGAGAATTTGCCAAAATTAAATCTATAGTTTAAAAACCATCTAGGTGACTTGGTGATGGCCTTGGCTTGAAGCTTGTTTGGAAAATTCCAGGTCTTCTGGTTTCCTTCTCCACCTTACGGAAGAAAGCCATTGTAGGACAGATGAATGGGACTGAAAGGCTGACAGGTCTGCCATATTTCATTGATTCTAAGATGAAAATTACTTTCCATTGTAACATTTCTGAAATCTGGATGTGTCTTATAATCGGTGGCATCCTTCAGTTATAATTGGCACCACTCTTTTCCCTTTCTTAATGGTACATAAACTAATAATACATCTTATGACTGAATAGCAGCTTACATTCAAGGACAAGTGCCATGTCTCCATCTAAACCCATCATGTTATCTCTAAGGTGATAGTTTTAATGGCTACATAATATTCTATCATAAGATGGACTTTAATTTATTTCACCAGTTACCTAATATGGATACTCAGTATACTCCAGTGTTTCACCATTGGGAATGCTGCTACTGTGAACACCCTGGTATTAAGCATTCCCTTTGTCTTCAAGGGGTGTCTTCATCCTCTCCTAGCCTCCAAATCTTGGGAGACATTTTGACACTTCTTGCTGTTCATCTCCCATATTTGATCTATTGCTGAATCTTGCTACTTCTTCTTTCATGGTCTCTGTTTCTGGTTGAGCTACCCAGGGCTCTATTCTGAGTTCCCGTAACACTCCTCTAACTGGTTTCTCTGCCTCCAGCTCTCCTTTCAGCCCATCACTATACTACTGCTCAAAGGTAACTTCAGTCATGTCACCTTTCTGCTCAGAAACTTACACTCCTCACAGGGTCAAGTTCACTCTCTTAGCGTAGCATCCAAGGCTCTGCCAAATTTGGCTGTATCCTCTCCTGCAGCCCCATCTCCCCACCCAATCACTCCAAACAAAATGGTCCACTCACTGGCTATGAGGGAACCTGCCTCCAAGCCTTTGCTTCCTCAGTTACCTCCACCCTCACTCTAGGAAGGGACACTCCTTTCTCTTTTTCCAAACCTTACTCATCAGACCCAGTTCAAGTTTCACCTTCCTGATGAAATGTGTTATGGCTCAGTGGATCCTCAGGAAGGATAGGCAGAGGCTTAGCCTCATTTCACAGGTGAAGAAACTGAAGTTTAAATGGATTAAGTGGCTTGCTCAACTTTTAGACGGCTAAGAAGTGCAGAGCCAGGCTTGAAACTCCAGGGCTTCTGTCCTTAAATCCAGTGCCTTCCAGCGCCATGTGCAAGTACGACGATAAACTCCTCCCGTGGAGCAGCCTGTGCCCAGATCCTGCAGCAGCAATATGCCCCGAGCTTCAGCTGCCTTTGGATTCCAGATGCACACATGCCAACAATGAGATCATTGCAAGAGTGAAAATACTTCAAGTCTGTCCGTTCCCAGCAACCCAAGCAAAGGATTGGGCCAGTTGTCCTATTCATTCCCATTTTAAACGGGGGAAGACAACAGTATTGTCCTTGAATTGTGCCAGCTGTCACTGCTTTGACCCTGATTGGTTTGGCTGGACCAAGATCATGACAAGTAATCAGAGCCACGTCACTCTGACACTAGCAGGACACTATCAAGAACTGGCTTTAAGCTGAAGGGCTTTTGAAAAATCTAAGGGAAATACATCTCAGGAAGCAAAAAGAGAGTGCACCCCTTCTGCTATGTGAGCACACAGTGACGATGATACTGTCCAAAGCTCAGGCAGCCTAGAGAGTAAGGCCTGAGTGCCAGACGGATAAAAAGGAGCAGGAGGGTGGGGTTAGGACGCTACTTCCTGAGCACCCACTGCCCTGGCCACTTCACAGACAGCAGGTCCTGGATGACGGGGAAACAAGGTGTTTGCTGTTGTTCTTTGTGTTTTACTTGAATACATGACAGAGTCAGAGCAGTAAAGACACTTACCAATGTGTAATTGCGGCTTATGAGGAAGTGTGATCCCTGCTCATGCTCAGAATTTCTCCAGAGAATACATTGCCTCACATCCCCTGAACTTTTGTCATTTGATCTAATTAAATGCTACAGGTTAAAGTAAAAATAGAAACAAACAGCCCCGGCCTATGGGCAGTGCAGCCAGTGTCCCTCACATCCGACTCCAATTCCGACTCCAATTCCGACTCCGACGAGGCTGGGTGTGACAGTGTCACTCACCCGCTCGAGACGAAGGCAGCCCTGTGCTCCTGGGAGAACAGACCTGTCAGCAGGGTTTCCCTCCAACATTCTCCCCTCTACAGGGTGACCCAGGTCCCTAGGCCAATTCCTGCATTCTCCTCAGCCAGAAGGCCAAGAGTAGGCCGAGGAGAGAAACAGCAAGGAAGAGTTTCTCTCGGAAGCTAAGAGGACTGTTACTGTCCTTGGTTTCAGAGAAGACCTGGTGTCTTCACATCCTTGCAATCACGAGTCACCTCATGAGGCAGGCAGGGGACATGGATGAGTCGACGAGGCCCAGGAAGGGAGAAGGGCCAGAGGTGGGCAAGGTCACTTCCCGGTCCTCACTGTGACTACTTACACCAAGACCCCTCGCAGGAGCCATGAGGCATGAGACCCAGGAGGCTCTGCTTTCTCAAGCATGGAGGGGCGGTCCCTCGAAAGAACAAGGGTGGAGAGGCCCAGTGGGAAAGCAGGGGCTCTGGGGCCATCTGGCTTTTCCGGGCTAAGTTGTTTCTCTTCCCTGAGCTTTGGCTCCCTCATTTGTAAAGTGGAGCTGATCGTCTCTGCTGCACAGGTGCACTGTGAAGCCCCAGGGGAAGCAGGTGAGTGTGAGGGGCCTGGCGCTGGATCTGACACACGGCCGGGGCTTACCGTCTAGGGTGGTGCACAGGGCGTAACAGCCCCTGGAGCAGCCAGGGTCTCACATATGATAGCACAGCCTCCTTGTGCTGAGAGGTATGGCAAGGGGAGTACACTGTCCCCCACCACAAACACACACACGCTCTTCTAGATGAATCCGAAAACCAGAAGGATCATGGCATTTCTTGTGGCCCCTGAGGTATGCTTCTCAGCCCTGATCAAACACAGGCTCTGTGACATGCCACGGCTACTCACCGGCTCGATTTTCAGAGCGTTTCGGTAGCTACCGAAGAAAGCGGCCTGGGCCTTGAGGAACGCTCTGGCCACACCATCCCCAGTGGTTGTGGAGACCTTTTTCAGCCTGTTCTTCAGGGAAGAGATCTGGTGATGGAGAGAAAGAAAACACAGGTTGAGGACAGGGTCAAAGTGGGGTGGCTAAGTTCACTATATATGGAGCCCTGGAAGATCCTACGGATGGCAGGATCCGTTTGATACCTCAGTTACTGGAAGGACAAAAATGTGTTCAGGTCGGGTGCAGTGGCACACGCCTGTAATCCCAGCTACTTGGGATGCTGAGGCAGGAGAATCACTTGAATCCGGGAGGCGGAGGCTGCAGTGAGCCGAGATCACGCCATTGCACTCCAGCCTGGGCAACAGAGTGAGACTCAGTCTCAAAAAAAAAAAAAAAAAAAAAAAAAAAAAAAAGTGTTCAGAATTAGGGCATCTTTTTGAAATTTAAATGAATGTTGTTCCTATTAGAACATGTCTAATAAAAACAAAAACCATTTTTAATGACTTACTCCATGCCAGGTAAGCACTTTTGCATACATTTTACAATTTAGTTAATTTAACAATCCGGTGAGGAAGGGATTAATGTTCCCATCTTACAAGGGTAAAACAGCCTCAGGGAGGCTAGGCTACATACCTAGGAACAAACTCAAGACATGGCCACATTCCAATCAAAGTCTTGTAGTCTGAGCCCAAACTCAGACTTTCAGTTCCTATTCTATACCCTCTTAAAGCTACTTACAAATGTTAGAATAAAGGCTTATTTATATTTCTCACACATAATACTCTAAAGGAAGTGTGGCAGCTTATACTAACAGACACATACTCAAGAGGTTAAAACAAAATATTTGGAAGTGATGATAATGGGCAAAGAAGCAGGTAATAGATTTGCTATATAAATGTAAGCCATCAAGTCTTATATGGTGGGTAGAGATGGGCTTGAATTTGACTTAAAAGTCTCCCAGTAGCCAAAGCAAAGAGGGAAATATGAAGGCTGTGAGATTTCACAGGTCCATGTACTACAAACAAACCCGTTGGTCAAATGAATAAAGATTCTCCTGAAAGTGAGACATAAAAAACAATGTAGGAAAGACTGTGTGACATGGTGGCTGCTGCCCTCAACATCAAGCTTCCTGGACTATTTCTAACACGCATTTCATTCATCTCAAGGTGCCACGCTTCACAGCACACCTTTCATACTGCGTTCCACATAAGAGGAGCCCCTGGAACTGTGCAACGTGGTGACCTCGAGTTATTCATTCACTCAACAAGTATTTATTATTTCCTATGTACCTAGGACTATGTTGGGCGTTGGGAATACAAGGGATACAATGAAACTACCCAGGGGTCTTGCCCTCATTCAGCTGACATTCTAGTGAGAAAAACAGGAAGGCACGTAGCATTGCTACTGTGACAAGCCTGTAATAGAGCTTGTCTAGGGGGTCAAGGAAGGCTTCCTGGAGGGCAACAGGCTTGCACTAAGATCTGAAGGATGGGTGAGGGTGGTTAACTCAGCAAAGAGGGGAGAGCACCACATGCTAAGTATGGGGAGTGGCGTGCAAAGGCCCTGCAGTGCAGAAGAGTTCAGGGAACAGAAAGAACCCTGGCTTCAGTGGAGAAAATGAGGGGAATATGGCTTGAAATGAGGCTGGAGAGAAAGGCAGGGGTCTGAAGGGATTTTTTTCCTTCATCTTGAGAGAGAAACAGAAAACTAATGATTGGTTTTAAGCATTCAGGTAACATATCGAGAGCACGTTTCATGGAAACTAATTCTGTAAGAGACCAGCTACTGGTAGGACATTATTTAAATAAAAAACTTAGGATACAATAGAAAATTAGATTTAGGTGATCCATGAATCTTTTACAGATTTTTAATATGAATGAGTCAAGATTATTTTTCTGGGTAGAGGATCCATAGCTTTCCCCAGAATCTTAAAGGTGCCTGTGACCCTAGAAATATTAAGAATCACTTGCTGAGAAGTCTGGGGAAAAAAAATCTGATCCGGGAAGGACTAGATAGACTTTAGAAATGATCCATGCACATTATGTCTTGTTCCCAAGCTTCTGAGAGGAAAAATTTTTAATAGCTTATTGAGACATAGTTCACATATAAAATTCATTCATTTAAAGTACACACTTTGGTGGTTTTTAGTATAGTCACAAGGCTGTACAACCATCACTACTAACTCCAGAACATTTTTTATCATCCCCGAAAGAAACCTCATACTCATTAGCTGTCACTCCCCATTCCCTACCAATTTCAACCCCACACCAGACCCAAGCAACCACTTACCCTCCTTCTGTCTCTACAGGTTTGCCTACTCTGGACATTTCATATAAATGGAATTAACAATAGGTAGTATTTTGCCATCAGATTATTTCCCTTAGCACACTGCTTTATGAACAAGGATTGTCCATGTTGTAGTATGTGTCAAGACTTCATACTTTTTATGGCTAAATAATATTCCACTGTATGGAGAGACCACATTTTATCAATCTGTTCATCAGCAGATGGACATTTGGGCTGTTTCTACTTCTTGGCTGCTATGAATAATGCTGCTATGAAGATTCACGTACAAGTTTTTGTGTGGAGACAACAGAAATTTCGAGGTAACAATCTGAAAAGCAAAAATCCTCCACCAGACCTTATGCAATGAGGACAAGCTGGAAGGATACACAAAGTCACCAAGCAGTGCTCAGTGTATAGGAAGCCATTCATAAATGTGAACTGTTTATAGGAAAAAAATCCTTTGCTATTGATAAAGGGCATGCCTCACGTTTGGATGCTAAACTGAGTGAAGATGGGACTGATACCCTCCTCTGATAAGTTAGAAGCCAAGGGGACGTGCCCAGCGCTTTGGCAAGCTGAGGCAGGAGGATGGCTTGAAGCCAGGAGTTCAAAACCAGCTTGGGCAACACAGTGAGATCCCATCTCTATAAAAAAAATATATAAAAAGATTTAGCCAGCCATGGTGGCACATGCCTGTAGTCTCAGCTACTTAGAAGGCTGAGGTGGGAGGACTGCTTGAGCCCAGGAGTTCAAGGTTGCAATGAGCTATGATTGCACTGTAGAACTCCAGCCTGGTGACAGAGCAAGACCCTGTCTCGAAAAAAAAAAGTAAAAAGCCTTGGGAACATACACTGAGGGGGTAGTTACCCCATCTCTACTCCAAGAGGGGACCATGGAAAACAATCTTCATTTGGAAGCAGTTTGAAGTCTATCTCAACATCCGGGTTATCTACAACTGGTTTATTATGACCTTCCCTTATCAGGGACACATAAGCCCCAGCCTCACAGTGGTGAGAGCCCCTGAGGAGCAATGCAGGCCATTCAGCACCTAGGCTGACTCTGCCGTGGACTTCCGCCTCCAAAGAGAAGTACGAAAAAGAAGCATGCTCTATTAACATGCTAAAAATACTACCCACTCCCTGCCCCTGCCCCCAAAATAAAAATAAAAATCCTGCCCCTCCCAGGGACTACAGTGACATTTCCATCCTTTGAAATGGTACAAGCCGCTGTCGCTCTCCTTCTGGCTCCTCAAAGGCCTTGGGCCACCTGTGCCGCAGATTATTCCTCACTTAACCTTCCCTGGCCTTTCTCTTTCATTCGGGAGGTGTTTAATTACCTTGGATTCACAACGCTGCACTTCAGGTGAGCCTCTCCTAATGGCCTTATTACCATTTTACACAAAGAAGGAGTCGTTGATTGTAACTGAGCAAATACTAGCGTGTTCCTTCCTGCCTGCCCCAGCGGGTCTGAAACTAGCCAAGTGGTCCTGGGCTCCTGATGCCCCTGTGACCACTTAGGCCAAGAATTCTGAAGACCTCCTCTCACCCTGCCACATGGAGAAGCTTTTGTCTTGATCTGCCAGCACCTTAAACTTTGAAACTGCAAGTATCTGTGCATCTGATCGCTGGGGAGTAGCATTTGTCCTTTAAATACAAGTGAGGGAAGAAAATTTAAGGTTTAAATAACACAGAGTCATATATCTAAAGCTGAATTTGTCCTCAGTACCCCTAGGGGTGCTGGTCAAATCGTTAACATTGGGATTCATCTGGGGTAGTTTGGGTGTGTTGTAAGTGCCGGTGAGGATGGCTTCCTCCTTTAATCAGGTGTTGTAGGAGGAAGACAAAGCAAAGGAAAGGGGGGGCAAAACTGAACTCACTAGCTTCTGTCTAAAGTGCCCTTTCCTCTCTGTGTGCCATCTTGGTTACCACAGCATCATTCAGATGTCAGATTCCCTACTTCTCCCTCCTTCCCACAAACATTCTCCACATGTCATCAACACCAACCCAGATATGCCCTGAATCCACACTCTCCTCTCAGTGCCCATGACACTGCCCTGTAAATTCGGCTCCATCACCCTCTCTGGCCCAGACTAGTGGAACAGTTTCCTCGGTGGGCCTTTCTTTGCCTTCAGTTTCTCAATGCCATCCACCCATATCTGTCCTAGTAATCTTGGAAAAATCCAAATCCAATCACTTTGATTCTCCATCAAAACCCTTCAGTGTCCCCGCCCTTCACTGTCATCACCTTCAGAAAAACATCCAAACTTCCACGAGCAGTCTGTGCAGGCTGTCGTCGATCAGCCTCACTTCCACTTGCTCTACTTAATGTTAAACTTGGATATCCAGAAGCACAGGCTACTCTCCAGCCCATTTCCATCTCAGTAGCTCAGTCCTGGTTGTCTCTTGTCCCTTCCTGTCCTGCTTGTGAACATCTATTCAACTTCTGAAAGACCATCCAAGTATCCATCAATTGGGGCCTCTGAAATACATGATCCCACATCCTCACCAGGAAATACCACATAGCTGCTAAAAAGGACATGGCAGTACTCTACGAACCGACACAAAAAGATGTCCGTGAAATACTGTCGAGTGGGGGAAAAACATGCAGGTTGCAGAGTAACATGTACAGCATGAATCATTTTAAAATTATATATAAATATATATGCAGTAAAAATCTAAAATGCTACATTACCAAACTTTAACCATGCAAGGATGCTTTCACTTTCTATTTTACACACTTGATTGTTTTGATTATCCTTTAAGAAAAAGCATATGTTACTTTTACAATAAAGAATTAAAATGAG